ATAGTGACTCAATTAATTGCATCAAATAATTATGTCAATTGCATCAAGGATCTATGAATTTCAGCAACATATATAATCTTAACTCAAAAACTCAAGAATCTTCAAGACAACTGATGCAGTGGAATGGGACCTCTGATTAAAGTTTACTCAAGTTTAAGAGTCTTGCTTATCCTTTGGTTACATAAGGAAAGGCCTGTGGCAGTTCTCTTTTCTTCAGTGCTCTTGTACTCCTTCTTACCTTTATTTTATTATAAAAACCATACACATTATTATCATTATACTTGCTAAGCCAAATACTTTCCAAAATTTATACTTAAACAGAGTTAGTGGGTCTAATGTTTGTTTCAAGTCAACTTTCATATACAATATTTTTGTAGTAATATCTGCTGCACCACTTTCAATTTTCAAAAATTTTTCACCCAAAAAATTGAAATCAGTTTACCCCTTTCAGATGATCAGTACTCCTCAATCATCCAATCAGATTTTACTTAAAGATCAAAACAAAACTCAATAAGCTCAAACCGGTTTTGTATCATAACAATGATCACAATAACAATAACAACTAACACATTACCAACAACTATAACAACAAATAATGTCATGTATATTTTATTATCTATGGTAACCAAAGAGCTGGAGAGATGAGACCATGAGCCTGTCCAGAGGCTTCTGAGGGAAAATAATTAGTTTTCTACTTATAGATTTTATAGTATATTTGATTTAATTTTAGTTACAGTTACTTTCATTTTTCATTTTAATTTTTTACACTTTAAAAATCAAAAGAATTTGCAAAATTTCCTGGAATAGTAGGTATAGCCACTACTCAGCCTTATCTAGTATATTAATATTGTTTTAAATTTTCTTTTCAATATTAGTTGTATAGTTACTATAGGTAAGCTAGCATTTAACTCATTGTATCAATAAATGAGAGATGTTGTTTCTTTCACGATGTATATCCTATTATATACAAATCAAATAAAGAAATAATATTTACCTACAAAAAAAAAAAAGAATAATAAATATAAATTATGTATTTGAAAATATTTAAAAAGAAAAAAAGATTTGTTTTAAAAATTATTATTATAAAAGAAAATTTTTTGACAAAAATCTAATTTAGATATGTATTGAATTTTTAATTTAAATAAAATCAAAATCAAATAACAAATAATATTGTTTTTTGAAATATATTTGCTATAATAAATAATAAATTAATATACATATAGTTATTTTAAAAAACAAAATTTAATTTATATACAATATAAAAAGATACAGTAAATTAAAATATAATATTTTTTAATTTTTGATTATTTTTTAATACTTATTCTTTTGTTATTTATTTTTTTGATTCTTTAAATATCTTATTTAAAAATTTTCTTAAAAAAATAATATTCACTTATTTAATTAATTAATAAAAATAAGGAAAAAATATCAAGTTTAAAAAAATAGTATTAAATATAAAATATAATTTTATTTTAATATAATGATTTTTTGACAAATATAAAAAAATAAAATAAATAAAAATTATTTATAATTTGAAAGATCAAAAATTTTAAAAAAAAAGAATAAAAAACACTTTTACAAAAAGCTATTACAATATAATATAATATAAAATATACTTTATAGTATTGGAATTTATTTATATATAGCTATTAAAAATCTTATATTTTAGAATATTATGTAAAAATATATATTAATTGATATAAGAAAAATCAAGAAAATCAAATTTACTATTGATAATAAATTATCTTTTCTAATGAAACAAGTATAGAAATTGACAAATAATCAAAATAAATATATGATTAATAAGATATAAACAATAAATATAAATTAAATTGCTTAATATTTACTTTCAAAAATAGATATTATTCAATTATGATTTGAGAATATTTTATAGAAGAAATTAAAGGATTAATAGTTTTTGTGTTTATTTTAAAAATAATAATAATAAAATTAATTCAAATATTTATTTTCAAATCTTAAAAAATTAGTTTATACTATTTCAATACAAGATATATTTATTAATAGATACAAATTCTATTTTTCAACAAGATAATATATTTATATATACTGTACATATTATTTCAAATTAGTTATGATAAACAAAATTAAAACAATCAATTGGTTAGCAAATTCATCTAATTTAGAAGGCTACTAAAAACAATATACAAAAATATAAGCATTTTTCAAAAAAAATAAATAATTTAAAAATTGTTTTAACAAAGGAATAAAAAAAATTTAATTTTTTAATTTTTTATGATATTTTATATTTACTATTGCAACAAATTAATGCTATATTATAAGCAAAAGAAAGACCAATCAAGTATTAGTTAAAAAAAATTTTTTTTTATAAGTAAAACATAAAATAAAATAAAATATGGTTTTATAGATTTTTGTATTTAATTTTAAAATCAGATTTTACTTTTTGAAGTGATTGTATATAATAAAATAATTATATTTATATATCTCATATTTTAATATCAAACATGTAAAGATTATAAGACATTTTTTACCTTAACATAAAAAATAATAATAATAAATTCTAATTTTTTACTAAGAAATAAATTTTTTTTTATTTCTTGTTCATTAAGTTCATCAACTATAATTCAATATAGATTTTTTTCAGATTTTTCAAGAAGGATCCAAAAAGTCCAAAAAAAATCTATAGTGAACTATAACTGATAAACTTAATGCAAAAAATAAATATATTATCTACTTATTATCAATTGTGACTGTTTTTTAGAAAATTGGTACCTTTTGATAAAAAAAAAAAATCTAAAAAAAACAAATCCGTAGTTTTATGTTACGAATTTTTTTTTACAATTTAGCTCATTTGTAAGATTCTTAGTAATTTTGGATTTTCTAGAATGACATAATTTGAACTAGCGAATATAATTATTTTTTATCCGGTGTTCAATTTTTCTAAATTAAAAATGTTTAGTTATTGATAAAATCATTAGTAATACGAAAAGTGTGGTTAATTCAGGAATGTTCGAAATCACTGGTATGGTATGGTAACACCACATTAGATCTAGATAACGATAACCTGATTTATGTGGAGTCGCGATCCACTACGGAAACACAAGGCGTTGGATCAAGAAAGTATCAGGAATCATAATTACACCAAGTTCAGTGGATACACCATGGATCCTTTGCTAATCGCACAATCTGTTCTCAAAGTTGTGGTCATGCTCATTGGATCTATGATGTTTATATCATAATTCGTATCAACATAATCATAGTGATTTCTTTCCAGACGAAATCTTCAACGATCGTCTAGTGGTTTTATTATTGTCAAACAATTGTTTGTTATGGATATTCAGTCATTGCATAGTTACCGGAGACCACGAATACGCGTCAAGACATTTTGTATTACGACGTGGGAGAAATTGGACAGCACAATTAAGAAACACCATGACAGAGAAACTCGATCAGATCCTTTCAAAACAGTCAGAGTGGCGAATGGTGATGGGCTCGTCGATGTTATCATAGGGATATCCTTGAGGAAGGATAATTATGATTATCCTGACGTAAATTAGATAATGCAACTCGTTTCACTAGGAGAAGATTAAGTATTTTAATACAAATACTCAACGGAATGTCTGTACGTAAAAGATCCATGTAGGATTTCTAGATGAGTCAATCTTTCTTTGGAAATGATGGGTTACGAGGATCTCGTTGACAAGGAAACGAATTCGAAACTATTCGCCAAACTAATTTAATTTGTATTTATTAAATTTAAATAACAACTTCGACGTTATCGTGCCACCTGAAGTCAAACCGACTGTTAATTATTATGCTGGGATTAACAACATCTATTTTATCAAAAGCATGGGATGTTTTATTGGGCTGAAGAAGGGGGAGGTCATCATATTCAGCGCTATAGTATCGCGTCATAAGAGCTTACAAGAAACTTTATGATGCGAATGACCATGGGGCTTTACAATTGATCATCGTAACAGGAAGAATTATCATATCTGGGGTTCCAGCCCAGCACTGATTTCGATGCTTCTCTTAGAGAGATCTCTGTTAGATTTTACGTTCGAACCATGCGTCGCTCAAAGCTAATAAATTAATCATAAGTTAATGCTAAGTGTGAGTTAGTGACCATCCGATTTATTATTCGAGTAAACGCACTATGATGAACAAGGTCAATTCGATTTCCTAAAAAAAATGTACAGAGCGAATCTTTAATTGGCTTACAAGTAACTGTTCCTTTCCTATTATGTTTGAGAAGTTTGATCTGTTGGCTGGGGTCGTTAAATACACTTACTAATCAGGTCGCCTTCGCTAATCTAGTTAAACGTTATGGAGATATTTATGGTTCAGATAAACACATCATTTACAACTACCATTTACCTTGTATACCATGGTGAATACGTGGACACCTGGTAATGATTTTCCATTGCATTGCTGCGCTCTAAATTTAGATCCACAACCCCATGAATGCATATTCATTCTTCGATGTTTTCAATTTCGGCATTCGATCACATTAAACTACGGTATAACTGCTTACCCAGAACGAGAAGGTTATTTAGCAATCACAGGATACAAGGTAACCAATATGATATCTTATTCCGTTCCTATGTCCTTACACATGTCGAGGCTCAAGATTATATCTCCACTCATTTTGGGTTCACTTGAACAAATGGGGTTACGAACTAGATGCATAGGTCATATTCATCGCGCGGGTCAATTCACGGTCAAATGGGTTCGTTCACCTATCCTCCATTCCTATCACATTCCCACCAACACGACGCGTACGTGAGATAAAAGACTATATCAAAGATTGAGACAGGTTATCTTAATAGTTATGCCAATGTGGGAATTTATTCCATGAAATGGTCACAGATGGACTTTGCAACTTTCGGAGACCATATCATAATAACCACAGATGCATCGAAATTCCGAATAATATCATGAACAATCATGAACATCTAACAAAACCCCATATTTGAAATTAAGGATAACGGACGACACTTAGCCTGCTATGGACTATATGAAACGCTGTGTTTGGTTTATGGAAAACACCTGGACCTTTCTTGGATGATCTCAAGACCTCAAAAATCGATCAAAAATATGTGACCGACGAAGAAACTTGGCAATTTTCTATGCCAAAAGATCACAAATCCTTTAGTTTAGACTTAAACATGCAATATGCCCATTTAAATGTTTCATACATGTTTAGTGAATTCAACCCACATTCCAATTCGATCACAACACCCACTTAAGTATAACCGCGGCTGCTAAAAATGGATCCAACAGGTTTTATTACGCTAACTTATATTTTAGTTCTGGTCCGAATTCGCGTGGGAAGTTTTACAGTCATGAATGAATCTGTTAAGAGGCAATCATTAACATTATTATATTCAATGACACTCTGTAGTGGAGGTTGCATTATTCCTTGTGCGCAATTATGATCACACTCATGAATTGATATACAGCATAAAGAATTTTATTAATTTTTATAATAAAAAAAAAATTATATGATCTTTAGAATAAAGATAAAAATAATTATAATTAAGATAAAAATAAAAATAAAAAAAATAATAATAATAGTTTTTTTTTAAATTGATCAAATCAATTTTTTTGTTAAATTGAACGATCCCATTAAAAACAAAGACGCAACAATGTACAAATATCATAAAAATAGACTATTGGATTATTGGTCAAATGATAGAAGTAAATAACGATGCACAGTGACGGTATATTGGTTTTTGATAAGCTTTTACCTATTTCTCTTCCATATCACATGTAATATGTACAATGTATCCATAAAAAAAAAGGTATTTTTTTCATTAAACGTATAATAATCAGACCTTATGTTGGTATGTAACCATTTTTTTCGGAAAAATATTCTTCAGAATGGTCGGTGTAAAGATTAAAATTTAAAATACGCAATAGAAACATTTTAATATTTTAATATTAATTCATTCGAATTTACAGTAAAAATCATCTGCACACATCAGCCATCTGACAGCTGATACATTTTCAGGATTTGTTTTTTGCGAAAGAAAATTGTCTCAATCGTAATTTTTCGGAATCTAATTACCAGGGATAAGAAGTTATTATTAGTCAGCCGCGCGATTTAGTGATTTGGATTAGAATAGTGTAAATGGAAATGGAAATTAAAAGAATTGCCGTCTATTTATCAATAAAATTTTGTTACGCCATTTCTTTTTAATTTTCAATGACGCACGGTACATGACGAATTGCGTGCATGGAAAAATCCGTTATTGTTGTAAGATACATCGAGAAATTGCAATCTAAATTTACAGAACAAAAAACGCCTTTTTGCATCAAAAACATTTGATTTAATAATGATTGCCAAATGCATGGTAATATTCGTGTTTAACTGCGACATTAGAACAAATAGTTCGGTATGAAGAATCCTGCGGAAGCCGTCAATGCTTCAATAGGGTTGCGGCAAAAAAAAAAAAAAAAGTCGGAATCGGAGACCTTGATTCTCTCTCCTTCCGATTAACGTACCGCGGCCCATTTTATCATTTATCAGTATCTATTACCTTTTCCGCTTGATTCGCGCCGAAAATTTAATGAGAAAAATTTGTAAAATCGGTAATGATAATACACATCGGAAATTTTTAATTACGAAACTTCATTCATAATGTAATAGAATAAGAGAACGACTACGGTAAGTACGGCAGATGGGCATTAACAATGATAAACAGGTAGTTGAAAGAGTCTAATTGTTAGATGCCGAGTGAAGGGAATCTCCTATTTTGCTTGTTAAACAAATGCATACAGGGGTCACTTGTTGAACAAAAGCATATTGAAAATACACCCCTTTCGTTAAACAAAATTCAATGATAAACAAACAATTTCTCCGAGGAAGCATCTCTTTAAAAAAAAAAAAATGTCGATTAAGTGTGCTGTCATTCGATTATTCGGAAAATATTAATACGGAAAAACCGTTATTGCTTTATCGGGTAGAAATATATATAAAGAAATGCTCACCTAATTTTCCTATAGCCATAGAAATTCCATTATATATTAAAAGGTTTTTATTGTAAGTGGGTCATGCTGCAAAAGCACGTGTGATACTAATAAATTATCATATGCTTCATTTTATATATGATATATTCAATGCACACCAAATTTGTTAGGCACTCCTCTCAGCGATGACGCACTTTCTAACGGTTTAAGAGGCGTATTATTGAAGGAAAAACCTTCACATAACCAAGGGAAATTCCGTGGGGCAGACGAGTTTGGCAACGCACCCCAAACTCGAAATTTCGGAAAAATGCTCATTGAGTCGCGGAATAATCGATACCGAGACATACTCAGCCGTGGCCAAGTGAAGTGACACCAATTACGACAAACCGCAATAGTGTTTTCCGGTTATGGAAAGATCGGGTTTTGTTGATGGTAATTTGCGTCATTGTTTATATGTAGTTTTATAATAGTAATCGCATCAGTTTTATAATAAAATTCCGAAACATTACAAGGAATTGATTACAACTTTTGTCCCACATGTATAAATTAGTACAAGACGACATTCTAAATAGCCCAATGAAAGACGGTCCGATTGTAGAAGAAAGAAAACAAGGTTCACGAAACAGTATGACAAAGCGTTATTGCGTATCTTATACGAAATTTAATGAGGGACAATCGGAATTTCTTTCAATATTCTTGTTGGTTGAGTATTATTAATCAGCCATTTTGTGCAACATTTTCAATAGGAGTGATAGTTGCACGAAATCCTTTTTGAATGTATTCGGAATTACTAACTAAGTGTTTACCATGTAATCGGCAGTTGTTATACAGTATATAAGTCATTCATCTGATGTTTAACTATACTACTAGCTCGGCAAGAAGAAAAATATATATATAAAAGAAATAAAAAGAAAAAAAACCAAAAACCAAACAAGACCTTTACTAACTTCACCATCTATTCATTTTCTCAAAAGTTTTTTTTTTTTTTTTTTCTACCTTCACAAAATTATTTTCTCAATAATGTCTCCATCCATCAGAGAACGAGCCCGTCATTATACAACCCTTGCGTGTGAACAATGTAAAAAATCCAAGACCCGATGCGTTCAGTCCACTGAAGTTCATATTCCAATAGTTAACGAGAGTAATTCTAGTAATAGTCAAAGTAAGGGTAGTAACGATTGTCCAAATGTTAAACAAGAACAAAAGGTGCCCGGAGAACATGTCAGTTCATTCGGAATCATAGGGAATTCCAATGAAATATCAAGGACGCAAGGAAATTCAGAGATTTTCATCAAAAAGGAAGACCGAATGGACGCTAATGAAAAGGAAAACACCAAGAACGAAATAAGTTCCGATGTCAAAGAGGAAATCTCCCCCAAAAACCCGTGTAATGTTACCACAAAAGAAACCTCAGAATTCTCAAACCTCCCATTCCCTCTCAACAACTTCCCTGTTAATACGAACACAAACAAAAATAAGATAAATGTCGCAGACAAACCTTGTTGTCTGAGATGTAAGAAACGAAATCTTAAGTGTGAATACATACTTCCTTCTAAGAAACGCGGTCCCAAAACAAGGAATGCCAAAATGTCGGTGGAAAACCTAGTCACTTAGTTATCTCATTAAAATTAAAATATCAACTCTTTTGTTTTATAAATAGCTTATCATTTTAATTGTAATAGTAATCACAAAAACTTTACTTTTTTAATAAAGCAATAATAATTAAAAAAGCAGCATTGTAAATTAATCATCTTTTCGCGTTCTTCAACTATCTCATGTTTCAGTATATTGATTTTTAGGTTAAGGTGCGAATTTGCTCGCTGACGGTTTCCGAGGGTGTTACCATATTTTTGAACAATAGTGCGCAGCTCTGAACATTATGATACTGTGTCGAATTGCAAATTTATCCGTTCACGTTGATAAAGTATGTTGTGCGCGTACCCGACTAGTCATTTATGCATATAACCGAGTGCTTAATCGGACGGCAAAATCGTTGTTCAAGCCAACCGTCACTATTGAATAGCTGTCCAAAACAGAGCCATGTCAGCTAGCGCGCAGATACGATAACGTTATTGCTTCGCTGGTGCGATAAATTGATAATCGAATTTTAGATTGGTCGTCCCCCAAATTCGGTAAAATTGTGCATCGATTCACGCACTTGAAAATGAGTTTCGGTGCGATATGCATGAAACAGCACATGACTTCGGTGATTGTGATTATCCTAAAAAAGAGATGGAAACTCGGGTTTTATTATCAGATCATTAGTAAATCAACACATGTCATACATTCAGCGAGTTAATCATTGAAATTGGTTTCTTCACTACGATGATAAAAAAAAGCAAACAACCTTGACCATACATACTTTTTTTCAATATCATATTAAAAAATGATATGCGTTTCTATACGATTATGCATACTGCATACTGGCTACTATCGTTCTCTGTTCACATGCAGATTACTAAACAGGTTATGGGTAATAATTAGTGATCACCATAATTCCTTTTCATGTCATCATCGTCAGTAGATTGAACAAACATTGCAAAGTTAATTTAGTCAGAGTATGGTCTAGTTGGAGGAGAAGTTGGAGGAGAAGCTTGAGGAGGAATTTCGAAGGACGTTGAGGCAAAGAAGAGACGGTGGGTTTCTTGCCGGCAAATATCGAATAAATTGCATTACCTATGTTGACCCAACTTGCGCAAGGATTTGCACCAAGGCATCTACTGTATCTTAAATTTCAACATTGACTTTAGACTAAAGTCTAAATAATTCCAACGATTATGCGCCGTTTCTCGCTGTGCAATAAGATCAAACTTTAAATCTAATACATAACGGGGACAAAGAATATAGGTTTGGCAATTATGGTTAGGTTAAAATGATCAACATGATCGGATCGAAAAACGTGGATTTTGAATTTTTTGCGTGAAAGCCACATAAAAATCTATTGAATTTACCAGTACGTTGTGTTTTTCAAAATTTTCAACATACCATAAAATTCAAATGCTTTCTCAGTTGTAAATCAATGGCAATGAGATTTATGGTTTAAAAATGTGACTCTTTAATAATAATATCATTTAATCGAATTTTATTTTACTTTTCAATTTAACTTTAACAAAATATAATTGCAAATACAATCAATTTATCAATGTTGTTGGAATATTGAATAATTCTATTTTTAAAATATAGAATAATACTTAAAACATTAATACTATCAATTACATAATAAATTGATTTAATAAATTAATATAATTAATAACAATTTAACAATTAACTCCGAGAAGTCATCATTTACATGTACCCACAGTCACTGTATTTTAAATAGTTGGTATTGCAAATATTATTTGTGTATAAATGTGTTTTAAATAACGTTAGATCATATAAGACGCCATATTGCTTTAAATATTATCATACGTCACAAAAAAATTTGGAGTATCTCCTTCAAACATATAATGCACATGTAGGATTTCAAATTGGTTATCGTTTCAAAGGACCTGATGTACGCTAGAATTAATCTTTAGCATAATTAAAATTACCTTTGGTAACAAATCTGTCCTTTATGCAAAAAGTATCATGAGGATTTAATTGAAAAAAATATAAAATGTTACTCTAATTTGCGATAATATGATAAGGCCAGGAATCCTGCTAATTATTGGAGTTACGTCCAGATAAAAATATAGCGTGAAAAAATCATCGGCAAAATAATCATGTGAGATCGATCAGATAATTTGGTGACCCGCCTGAAATGCGCAGAATGATATCGAATAGGGTTGTTCCCATTTTTTTGACTTATTTTTTGCGTCCAGTATTTTCTGTCAATCAACCAGGATTAACGGAATGACGAAATGCATCTCTCCTGCGAAATTTACAAATGATATAAAAGCGGTCATATTTAACTTCGCTCGTTCATAAACCCTAAAGATTAGGAATAGCATGATGTCTTCTCTCTCCAGCATTTGAAATCTTGCTTATAGCATCCTTAAAAATCTGGGACGATATCGTTAAGGATGAAGAATTTACAGAACTTGGAAAATGATACAATGTGATAAAAATATCCTTTCCCTTAACTTTGAGGCATTTACTATATTACCCTGCAGACACGTATATCACAGGGAGTATGTCAAGAAAAATTTCTACTTACACAACAAAACAACTGTCCCACTGCGAATTATACCGCAACTGTTAATCTCGTGGTTTCTGTAAAATACTTCATCGACAGTTAGAAATCTACTCCAAAAAGAGAATCAGGAGATAAATATAGATGCGAAAATGGTGATGATAGTAGTAAGAAACGAACTAATAAAAATGTTGAAAAATCGTCTAGTAAGAAGGCCAAAAAGATTGTACCCAGTATGCTAAAAAAACTTATCGAGGAGTATCCTCTGAAACATCTCAGGATCCCAAAGAGAGAACTAGTGATTTCTTTGATCTATACAATACAATCATTAATACGGAAGGGCAGGAGGAGATTGTATGAGAAGCCATCAAATCGTATTATAATTTCGGTAAAACACTTGAGGATTGTTATGATCATCACAAGAAAAATAATCCCAAGCGAACGGCTCAAGCATTGGTAAATAAAGAAGTTCGAACTAGTTTCCAGACTCGGTTAGTGATGACTTAACCTCGGAAGAAAAAAAGAATGGGCTCTAAAGATTTACGAAATAGGCGAGCATACGATCAAAAGGATAAAATCTTCTCACAGTAGCATTTATATTAAAATTAAGCAGGATGATATTAGTCAGGTTCGCGAAATAATATTCACATCGGGTCTAATGTTTTTAAACGTGTAATGTGATTGCTTTATTGCGGGTGATATTCCGAGTTTGAACCGATCCGATGGAAACCGAACCTCGAGAACTGATCATCTATGGAGTTAAAAAACTATTCTTCCAATTAGCCGATCAGCTTGTGATTTAAGTTGACAAGGAGGTTGTGAGGAAGCTAGGGAGATCGGGAAATAATTTATCCGTTATAGAAACTTCGTCTTGACAGAATCACTATAGATTACTAAAAATGTTATGATTATGAAAATCAGCTATAAATTATATTAGTTATAAACTAATTATTGTTCTAATAGATACACGTCCCTACAATAAATTACAGGATATTTTATATGATCGTTGAAGATCTATTATAATAAAATTTCAAGTTTATTTTAAAATCATTAATCTAAAATATTATATTATTAAAAATTAATACTTTGTAAATTCACATCTAGCTTAATAACAGCTTTAATATATATAAATAAATCTAAAATTAAATGATGAAAAGTATTTACAGTGTGTTGCAAAATTTGAATTTATCTGTTATTCAAAAACTACTGCATAAATATTAATAATATAAATTTATATAAAAAATTGATTATAAACAAAAAATTTATAAATTTTAATACAATAAATTTAAAAATTTGTTCATTTAATCTATAGATTTTTTACTTTTTTAAAAAAAATTTTACATAATTTTTTAATTTATAAATTTTAAAATAATTTTTTTTTATAATATTAAAAATAAAATATAAGATTTTATAACTTTATAAATTTAAATACAATAAATTTAAAATTTGGTTAATAATAACAAAGTATTATATTTTTTTTATAAAAAAATTTTTAAAAAGTTTTATAACACACTGAATAAATCTACTTTTATAATAATAAATTTATATAATTAAATAAAATTATAAATAAAAAAAATAAGTTAATTTAAATAAATTTTATAATTATATAATTGAATAAGACTATAAACAAAAAAAACAAATTAATTTAAATAAATTTTATACAGTTTGTTATAAAGTTTTTAAACTCTTATTTTAGTTTACAATTTAATAATCAATTTATAGTATAATATAATATACTGTATATAGTTAGGTTCAAAAAAAAATTGAAATAAATTATATTTCTAATTTTACTTATAACTTAATAATTAATAATAAAATATTATAAATATATATTGTAATTAAATGGTTTTAATTAAGTATTTAAATAATAATTTTTAAAAGAAATTAGAGATTATATAAAAAAAATCTTTTAAATAATTTTATAAATCTTCGTACCCATATATTAATAGATCCCTACAATAAAATATAATTTAAATATTTTATAAAATAATTAAATAAATAAAATTTGTATAGCTGGATATGTCGTAATTGATCTAGGGGAAACTAGAATTACTGGAAACGGTAATTATTAGATAGCATTAATTTGTATTTAGGATAGCAATAGCCTACTTTGTAAAAATGTTTGATATAAAGACTACAAATAAATGTTTAATAAATGTTTTGCATCTAATGCTCTTAGCCAATTAAAAAAAAAATAAAATAAAAAAATAATTAAATAAACAATTATTTTATATCTCAAATTTTTTTAAATTACTTTCAGAAAACTCCTCATATCTACTAATTATATATATTTTATTTTATTCTTAATAAATTATTGGCAATTCTTTAATATCTGTATTTTGTATACTTTTGTTATATATATTATTCATTACAAAAATTATAACTTTCATTAGATTTTTATATTTATCTGCAGTTAGTTATGCAATAGATTGAATACCATGTAAAAAAATTTTTAATCCTGGAAATCTTGGAATTTGTGAAGTCTTTGATTCATGTTATTACA